TGACTTTTTATATATATTTTTGAGTGGCAATTCCTGGTTTCCTCAGTCTAAATAAAATCTTCAACCAACGGGTCAGTTTTGTGAGAAATTATACCCTATTCTAGACCCAAACGCTCTGATTTATATACCCTATCTAAGAGTAAACTGCTTGAAAACCATACCCTTCACAGCAGCACATACCTATATAGCCCATATATGGCAGTGCCCCCCCCCCCGGGTATATAGGCTAAATAAGAAAGCACCCCCAGGGGGGGGTAGGTAGAGTAGGCGTAGGAGAAACCAATTGCTCGCAGAGTAATAGTAATTTTGACTGCTTTGGCGAACTTGAAAAGCTGACGTCTCAAGATTTAGCTCGTTGTTAAGGTAATCAAAGTTCACCTCAAGGATGACACTATTATTTTATTGGTTTAAAAAGAATACAATAAAGGTGAATACAATTCGTGTTAGAACTGAAAAAGTTTCTTCCTCATTTGTGGATATCATAAATACACTATATTACATGGAAATTGTGAGAGAGTGTTCTCTCACAACATGAAAGGCAGGTCCAGATTTTTGACACCAAGACCAACATATACTGAGCCATACTTCCTTGTGCCAGGCACATGATAAAAAGCAAAGCCCTGCCAATGTAGGCTGCGAAGAGTCACCAAGCCACTTCCACGCTCAAACTGGATACTCCATGAACCTAAAGAAGAACAAAAGAAGTATACTCCTTTAACACTCTTAAAAGGCAACAGTGCTAACCAATGTCAATTGATGTCTTGAAAGTAAGACTCCTAAGTAATGAAACATGTTTCTAAGCCAGGAGGTAGATCATTAAGCCATCCATAGCTTGTGTGGCTGGCTAGATTTTGCACCAGAGTGCTTTGTTTTGGCTGCAGAGCTATGAGAGAACATTTCTAATTCAGTGGTAAATGGCCACAACACAGGTAGCAATGTCACTTCACTGTCCATGTAACTGGAAGTCATACAGCATCCATATCATGACGCCATTTAGAATATTGAGCACTGTTTCTTTAGTTCATGGCACTGCAGGTGCATATAAAAATAAATGTCGGTCAATACACTGTAAATGACTGTTAGCAGGTGGAGTGACATATTTTTTCCCCTACCACTGCGTGTTTGTGACTGGTTGCAAAATTTTTGAAGAAAATTTCTTGCAAGACTCATCAACTGGCTCTCAATTTCTTTACATGCAATAGAAACAAATGGGCTAAGCTCCAATAACTTGCATGTGTGCCAAGCCTTAAGGCTTAAAACCATTTCTATTGATTTTCACTAAATGTTTCTGTTTGTAGCAGCATAGTTTCTACTTGTTCATAATTTCAGCATGCCCTTGTTTTCACAGTCCTGTTCATAATTTCCTCACCTCCTTTTGGCACATCAGTATCAATTGGATCAAGGAAGTCTATAGCTTTATCCAGCTCAGCCTGTTGAAAGATAAATCAGGATTACTACAATGATCAAAATGCACTTGTGACACAATTGCTGCTGGATTCTAGTCTTTCAACTTGCATTATACTGAAACTTTAGGATTAAGATCTGAAACTGTCCAATTTGGAAAAGAATTAACTTACATACATGTACATATAACAGTGAGACACTCATCAACATAAAGTAAAATGTGTATTTCTGAGTTAATGTTCTGACATGCAAGGCAACTGGACAGAAACTCATTTGTGTGTGAAATTGGGAGAGAAATATACTGGCAAAGGCTTGGTGGGGATAGGACCCGCAGGCCGGATGGGGGATGAGGGCCTCGGACACATGGCGCCATGCCAAGGGATGCGTCATGCCTGTACTGCAAGGTGAAGATAGAGATGGCCTTTTTGACTAACAGTTTTTTTTTTTGCCATTCTTCTCTGTAACAGCTGTAAGTCATGGAGTTAAAATTATACCTTCTGAAGAAGAGTCTTCTGAGTTAGAAGAAACGGCTCACGGAAATGGAAGTAGCTGGAAAGCTTGCCTGAATCTGCCACTGATAAGCCTAGGAGAAGAGATCACTCATTTTAAAAAGAGCACTTTTAGAATGAGTTCAAACAACTTTAAAGAACATCTTTGTTCTACCATTGCTTACTTAATAGCACAATGGCGCTGTCAATTGTATTCATTTACCTTCAAAACTTCTGTTAACTCCCACAGTACCAAGAGCTGTGCGGCAGTACGCTCCCCTAGGGACTATTCTGACATCATAATCTATGGCTTCAATAGTTGTTGACAGCCTATCCTCTTCTTTGATCATAATCTGCATTATCAGAAACGTAATCAGAAATATCCTTGGGTTAAATTATATACTACCTAGAATTAATCACAGATTAAAGGTTGATGTACCTTTCCTTTTCAATGGCCCTATTAATTTTAGTATTGGTTTGAACTGAAATCATTTCTCAGCTTTATACATTTTTAAACTTTGATATTTTTAAATGGTTTTAGAATGTCAATAGGTTATGCAGTTAATAGCTTGCAGTTTTCAATTGACTGTTGAAAGCAATCAGGCAATTACTTTGATTTGGTTTTGGTTTTACTGTGGTTTGAGATAGGCCATGTTCTGCGAATGACACCAAACCACAACCCACTTGTGGCACTGACTTGGGCACCCAGTGGGAGAAGAAACTGAGGATGACCAAAAGAAACTTGGAGATGAACTGTAGAAAGAGAGTGTAATGAGATGCGTTTAACATCGTGGGCTGCAGCTGCAAGTACGTCTGTAGCCAATAAAAGGGATAGATGGAGGCAACTTTTCTGTGGGCCAATCCCCCACCTGCATGCCACCACCAACACTACCACGAGTTGCCCTCAGGTGGACCCCTGATAGCTGTAGAAATTGAGGCAGACCGAAAGAAACATGGAGGAGGACAGTGGAGAAAGAGATGAAGAAGAACAACTGGATATGGGGTCACCTGGAACGACGAGCACCCAACAGAAGCCAGTGGTGCACTTTGGCCAAGGCTTTACATGTTTCGAAACACGAAGAGGATTAAGTTAGTAATCGCCCATCTGGGGGCAGGGAACTGAAGGATGGTTTGGGATTGGCTGATTAGTCTAGTAGCTAAGTAACTGGTTTGGTTTTGGTTTTACGACACTCAACTGAAAAGCTCTCTAATGCCATATTTCTTAACATGTAAATGTTGCAGAATGTTTAGCATTGATCACTTGACAACTCTGGTGTTATGTCTCTATTTGAATGAATAAATCTGACAGGGTTTTTAAATCATTGCACCCAAAGCTTAAAACTTCACATACAATGTTTTCCTCTTCAGCTCCATCCACCTTGTCACCATCTTGATTTTCAACTTTCTTTGTCTCGGTGTGTTCATATTCATATGAAGGGTCCCCAGTGAAACGTCCCTTCACAAATGAGCAGTTGTGTCTCATGCTTTCTGTCACTACTGGCAGTAAGCCCCAGTGCACACAGTCTTGACTGCAAAACAACATAAGATAAAATCAGTGCAACTTTATTCTGACTGACATTTAGAACACATTTGAACTGATTTTTTGAGTTGATTCCGTGATAATGTTTCAATATACATGTATGATATGTTTCAATCCATCCTTGAATAACTGAGATGGCCTTCTCCTCATAAAGGAACAAACAATTACATAACATAAGCAGACTACATGACCGTATATGATAGGCTCCTTTTCAAATCCAAAATATAAAGTTTTAAACTTAAAGAAAAATGTCAAATCTTTTACTGATTTCTTTTATCCAACCCCATGTCTATTACAATTTCGCATGCGCTATCATGATTTGGAGTGTTAGGGTCGCGCAAGCCATCTGATGCCTCCAACACCGCAGACCAAAAAGTGCTGTTGGCATTTGCAAAGGACCAACTATCAGGGAAGCAGTCTGCTAGCTGTTCAATCAGTTTTGAAGACGCATAAAATCATTTTGTACCCGCTACAAGCAAGAAAAGTGTTTTACTGAAATAGGTCTATTAGTTTAATACCTGTAGAGAGTTTTCCTATCCTTCAGTTCATCTTTGCCAACTCCTTGCACAATAAAGTAGTCGCTCTTCACTCCATAAATCTTGCCCCAAAATTTCACTCTATCAAACTTGTAATTACTCTTCAAAATGACCAGCGAAGACTGCAGAGCTGCCTTCTGTTCTGTACTCAGAATAACACCACTACTTCCTACGTAGTCAATTGACATATGAAGACCTTCTACATCCATGTTTGCTGCTGAAAAACCTTCACTATTCTGCTGTGAATCTGTGGTGATTTGTTATCCGCGCTTTCGTTGTCATGGTAGTTTTGGGTGTGTAGCCGCTGGGTTCAAAGAACGAATAACTTCATGAATTATAACAACAGATTTGATTGGTTAACATTATCATAGCTGACCAGTCACAACTTATTTTATATCTCAATTTTGACAAATTCAAAATG